ATTTTCTTGTTCATGAAAAAAAAAGGTTTGACTTTATTAAAGTTACATTCCCAGAACGTGGTCATTCTGTTATGGAATGTGATAAAGATATGGGATTAATTAATTGCAAAACACCCACTAGTGATCCATCAGATTGGATTAAAACATTCAAAAATACTCGTAAAAAATTCACTCGGTTTCATATTATAGAATTAACACAAGGTATGGTTAAAAGTATAACTGATTTTATGAGACCATTTTATAAGAATAAATGTCCAATTCCAATTTGTCCTCTTTGTGAAACTTGTTTCAGAGTAGACTCAAGAGGCATTGTATTTCATCGTGATTCTGGTAAGGATTATTGTTGAAAACTAATTTAAAAAATAATAGGAAGAACACTAATAATAGTGAAATCCCTATTCTGTATAATGCAAAACTTTGCATCTCTATAGCAAAGTACAGAGATTTACAAGTATTATAAAAATTTACATCCAATGCTCAGGTTTACGATTCTTTGCCATACAATCAGGAGGTTATCGAGACATTTCATGAAAATATTGATTCTGAAGATGAAAAGTAAATAGACTTCTTTTTTTATTTAAATTTTGTTTTTAATTGTTTTTTTCATAGTGTTTCTTGACAAATTTATAATCTTTAATATGTTTCTTCTTTGCTTCACTTAATATACAATAATTTATATAATTAATAATCACAAGATATTGAATATATTTTTTACAGTTTTGTGACACCTGTATAGGTATAGTTATATAGGTATTTAATAGGTTAACCTTTTAATTAAAAACAAATTGAACTTTGTCATCAACAGTGATGTTTTTGAATAAAAGATTAATAATAAAATTTAAAGCCTTTCGTTATCGAGAACTAGAACTATTACTATAATTAATTAGACAACTCTCGATATCTCGAACCTCCAAAGGACTGATTAATTAGTTCGAGATAGAGAATGTTCAAGTTATCGAGAGTATAATCCATAAATAAGGGTTCGACTAGGTTCAAAAAAGTTTGAGATATCAAGTAATCAAGGTATTGAGAGTTGACTGTAGGTGATATTTTCGTTCACGAAAAAAGAACAAAAATTAAAGTTTTTTGTTAATGAGAACTATAATTATTTTCTAAACGAAAATATCAACACTAAACAGTATTTTTAATTTTAGTTCGATCCCCTAGACTTTTTAAGGGTCAATATTAGGTTTTGGTGGTGAAGTTGTTTGGTAAAATTAGTTTCTGCCTAACTTTATTTATAAGCTAATAAAAAAAATAATTAACATTTTATGTTTTTAATTGGTCGAAAAACTAATAAAATAAGACATTTTACCGCGGAAAAAACGGCAGAGTCCATAAAAAACCTCACTTAAAAAAGAAAGCCTATAACGTAAATTATCATATTTAAATTAAAAATACAACTTTAATTGCATAAGAAATTAGTTCTTTTTGCAATATATCTTAAAAGTTTTAATCCTTTCTATAAAAATAAAAAAGTTATATAGGTTTAAAAGTTTAAAAATGAGTCATCTCAAAATAAAAATTTGTGACTATGTCGTTTCTTCCCGTTTAGTCTTCAAATATATATATATATATATATATATATATATATATATATATATATATATATATATATATATATATATATATATATATATATATATATATATATATATATATATGTATATATATATATATATATATATATATATATATATATATATATATATATATATATATATATATATATATATATATATATATTATAGTTACGATAAAAACGATATACTATATTATTATATAAATATTATAAAATGTTTATAAACTTTTATCGTATACAACTTATACTATACCTTTATTTTATAAAACTATTGTTGGGAATTATTAAACGTTTACCAGTAACTCTAATGAATTCACTTGTTTGTTTATAGTTGTTTTATTATCATATGACTGCGTAAATATTATTTACAATTATCATCACTTTTATATAAAATTTAGATCCACAAAATATTATATTAATAACCTCAAATTCATGTAATTATGTTGGAGTAATTTTCCAATACCTTCACGAAGACCGCACCATTACAAATACATAAATGTTAATACTAAGATAGGCACTTCAACATTTTTATGTTCTTCAATCGTGCATCCGATGACTTAAAATACAAAAACCTTTCATTTGTTTATTCTTAAAAGTAGAACCACAGCTTATCAACAGTACCAAAAATATTTTATTGAGATTTTCGTTTTTAGAGATAATTTGAATCAAAAACTAAGGTCATTTTATAACCCAAATATTTTTGAAGACATATAGTGTTTTTTTAATTTAACAAAAAAAATCAATTATAGCATTATATTAAGCTTATAATGTGCATGTTTTTGAATGGTAAGCGTTGATCACACAAAAAATATGCCTCTCACTAAAAAGTAAATTTAAAAAAAAAAAATTTTTTTCAGCACTTGTCAACTTTCAAGACTCAAATCGTCAATTTTCAAGACGAAAATTTAGTTTTTAAAAGCAGTTTATTTTTTTCAAAAACTTATTTTGCCTTACCATTAAATACAACTTTTTTAAAACAGTACTGTCACAGAACTTTATGTCAAATGTGGGTGGCTTCCTATATATTAAAAGTCAATTTACTATAGTTTTTATTGGTATTATATTCTTAGTTTTGAATAGTAACGGTCTTGTTTATTGTTATTTTTGTAAATAAACGGAAATGTTGATGCGATTTATGGTTTAAAAGTTCAATAAGTTTTTAACTAATAATGATATAACGAAAAGATTGTTATTTTTTAACTAATCATGTTTAGCTCTAACTTATGGAGTTTATTTTGTTTTCATTTTACATTTAAAAAAAAAAATATTGAAGTGCCTAACTAAGATATAACAGCTAATTGTTTGCTAGTGTCTTTGAGGACGTAATTTATGCCATTATATATAAAGTGAGTTTCCACCAGTTTTCTTTCACAAATTTAGCTAAAATGCATCTAAAATCTAAAAACGACAAAAAATGTTTAGGAAAGAGTCATATTAAGTGAACTCCATTTAAGACTTTGTCACCGTAGATTAGTTAGGTGGCCTAACTAAAAGTACCCATATACGCTTTCTAAAATTGTGTGTAATTCTGTCTTCTTTCTTTATGCAATCCTTCTACCTCAATTACTTCTGCCTTTCACTCTTACATATCTTTGTTCATCCAAACTCACCTTACTCTCGGTCCGTAGAGCGGGTCATGACGCTCTTTTTGGAAATGAACTTGGCTTTGTGGGGCCTTGGTAATGTGACCTCTGTATGGCAATTGGCTGGAAGAGGATAAATTATAATACCAAAATGGTTCTAAAATAAAAATAATAATAATTTAATTATTTAACCTCTTGATTATTGCAAAGATGAATACCTACTGTTACAGAATCATACTAGCGTTTACAAGATGAATTCAAACTGTTTATACAACTTACAAAAAAGGTTCTTGCAGCAGAATATTCATAAAGAAAGACTAGCAACTCATATTTATTAATTGTGTCAATTTTGTCACCAATAGTTTCTAAAACATTGGCGTCCATTGATTTGTTGGCATTTAGAAGGGTAGATTGCTTCAATAAGAGCTTTTAAATATCCATGAATTAAAATGGCGCAGCCGATACTCGTTAATTATTTGTGTATCAGTCCTTTTGCTTTTAGTTGTTGTAAGGAAATGAATCTTGAAAACGCATTTCAGTCTAACTTCAAAATTAGGCGAAAAAAAAAAAATTTAATGAATTTTTTGTTTTGTTTTAATTATGCCTATTTAAACCGCGTGTTATGTGAGTTTAAGCCGCTATTTTGTGGGTCTTCTGACCAATCGCTATATTATTATATCATTCTATAATGACCGTTTAATAAACTTTGATCTAACGTCAGTATTGCAACGTTTGATCGACGTTTAATAAACGTATATATATATATATATATATATATATATATATATATATATATATATATATATATATATATATATATATATATATATATATATATATATATGCTTTGCTTCTTTTAATATATATATATATATATATATATATATATATATATATATATATATATATATATATATACATATATATATATATAAATATATATATATATATATATATATATATATATATATATATATATATATATATATATATATATATATATATATATATATATATATATATATATGAAAGATATATCTATATAAATATATATATATATATATATATATATATATATATATCTATATATATATATATATATATATATATATATATATATATATATATATATATATATATATATATATATATATATATATATATATATATATATATATATATATATATATATTAAAAGATTTAAAGCGTAGATTTTAAAACTATAAATGTTTACGTTTAACAAAGGTTAATTAAAGGTTTATAATATTGACTAATGTACAACGATATTCTAATCGTTATTTCGACATTTAGCAAACGTATATATTAAAAGTTTGAAATATACATTTTAAATCAGTTTTTTGTCAATAATGGGTCGATAAACGTATTTTACCCATTTTTCGACTGATTTCGACTGTATATTGACCGATTCTAAACAAATCTGTGTTTACTGGGAATATTTGATGCCTAAAATATTTTTTGTTGTTTGAAAGTTAAAAGTAATAAATTGATTTCCGAATTATATTTAGTTTTCCCCTTTTTAAGTATCCACAACATCAACAACTTAAAACACAAGTTTTTTGTTGTTATTTATAGAAGTATTCTTAATTTTTAATGTTTATTTGTTTTTTTTTATTTCATTGTTTACTCTTTATCATTTTCTTTAATTTTCTATATTTTATTTAAGTTTTACTTTTCAACGTTCAACACAAATTCAGGGATTTTTTTTGCTAGAGAGCAAAGAGTAAGTATTTTCTTGTCGCATAAACTTTTTTGTTAAATTTTTTTAAAATCATTATTTATTTTAACACAATTTTTTATTTAATATATTTTCTTACCCTTTCATTTTTGAGAATGATTATTTCATTTTCAAGTGCAGCAACTTTAGATATTGCCTTTGAAAGATGGTTTTGTGTTGAAGAATTGACATGAGTACCTTGTTCTTTTCTCATTCCCTGCAAAATATAACATATACCACAACAATAATAATAAAAACTAAAACAAAAAATAACATGTTTTACACAGATCATTAAAAGTTTAAATGATATTAGAATTATTTCATTTAAAAACGAATATTTTGATTCAGGGTCAGGCTGACCCAAGGGTTTAAGATTTGTGCCGCAATGGCACAATGGTTTGAGCGCTTGCTTTATGAGCAAGGTATCCAAGGTTCAAAGCAAGCTCTAGAAACGCCTTCGGTATGAAAGGAACCGGAACTTCCTACCTAAATGCTTTTCCGATGTGCTCTGTGACATGTCCATAAGGTCTTTTCAGGGCACCTAAAACAAAAATTTAAAAAAAATATTTCTCCCTCCGTTAAAGGCCAGGCACATAGGTCTTGGGGTTTTCTATTAATCAAGATGCAAGTAAAATAAATGAATAAACATATAAGTTAGTAATTGACACAAAGGTTCTAAATTTCATCTTGCAGCCATAATTGATTTTTTCACAGCTTAAGAAAACAAACAATTTAGCATAGCAAATAAGTGCGCAGAAAATAACGCTGCGCAACACTGTAACTTAGAATTACGGTATTTTTAAAACCTTGCATTTGGATTTATTTTACTTAACGCGTAAAACATATTGGGCGAAGTGGATGGTCAAAGATTAGCAAATTTACATGCTTATAAGAAGAAATACCTTTTACCCATTTTATCAAAAAAAACTAATAGATTAAAATTTTTTTTTACTAATTATTTTGCTGCCATAAGGGTCCCATATATACATTTCGCCCCCCGGGCCCCACAGTGTAAGATCTGCACAATTTGATTTTACAAGATAATCAATTTTAGATGTCCTCTTTTCCAGCGATATAGTTATAAAACCATTATTATTTTAATATATCACAAGAAATAAAAGGTGAAAAATCAAAAAAAAAAAATATATATGATTTTTGAGAATTTTAACATTGCTAAAAATGATGGTATAACTATTTTTTAATAATTTTAGTTTTATAAGCAACTATTTTGCATTTTGTCAGGTGTGATATGAAGTAGCTTCAATAGCAAAGCCCATAGCAACGGAAAAAAGCTGTATGAAAACTTTTTTTAACCACTGTTTTAAGATGTTTTCGTATTCTACAATAAAAAAGATTTAGTTTAGAGGCTAACTATGTTCAGTTTTAAAAATAAAACCGTTTTTACTTATTGAAATTGCATTATTTCATAATCATTTGATTTCTGACTTCTTGTGACAAAACCATTATACTTAGACAAGTTGTGTTGATAAAATGTTTGCCTGAAATATTTTTTTTTAGGGTAATAAATTAAATATACAATGGGTAACTATAAGAATACTTGAACTCAACTCAAGATAATAAGATAACATATTATAATTAGTACTCAATAATAAAACTGTAATAAAACAAAGTAAAATAAACAATAATAAAATGAAAACTCTTTAAGAACATAGCTTATAACTCAAGGTAACAATACTTCAAAAAAATTTTCAAATTTTAAAACAATATTTCTAAAAACTTTCCTAAATTAAACTTGCATTAATAGATTTATGAAATTAACAAAAAAGATTTTAATGATTTAACCAACAACAATTTATTGAAAAAATGTATTCATGGGCTAACTCAAAATTGTAATGAAGGACTAAATAATATTATATGATAACGAAGTCTCTTACAACATGTTCTGTGTTATCATAATAAATTACATACATGTTTTTACATAAACATTTAGTTTATGTAAAGACAGATGTTTTTGAAATGGTAGTAAACTCAGCGTTTCTTTTTTTCAATGAAGGTGTATTTGATATTTATTGTGTATTTAAGTATTTAAATCTAGACTTTAAAAAAAATTCGATAACCAGTACAATAAAAAAAGACCAAAAGTGGTTTGAGAATATGGTGAAAAAAAGACCACAACGAAAAAAAAAAAGAAGAAAAGAGTTGTGAGGATTTAAGAAAGGTTAGATTGATAAAGATCAAGAATAGTTATCTAAATATATCTACAAGAAAGATATTTTTAAAACTTTTTTTACTTATTTTCCTTTTATCTAAATTTGAAGGTTTTAAGATAACTTATGAACTTAAAACACAATATCTCAACATTAAAAAATGCCTAGATCTCCAAATTTTCCCCAATTGTTCAATACATATATATGTAGAGAATGAACTAGTATCTTGATAATTGAATAAATATTTATCAATTTTTAAGTCTTTTTTGAACCATACCCCTTATAAATTAGTCAGTTTTCAGTTTTTTGGGATTTGAAAGAAATATTTTTGTTTTTATGTTATGATCTTTTTTTTTTTTTTTTTTTTTAAAGTTGATTAAGGTGCCCCAAAAAGTCCTTCGGTCTTATCACAGAGTACCGCGGAGGAGCATTTAATAGGAACTTCACGCCTCCATTCCAACCAATGTCGCAAAACTTGCCCAGAAGTGGGGTTTGAACCACGGTTCTTACGTTTCTAAGTGCGCTACCACTGCGCCACGGCTGCTTAAATCTTAGTTTATCCTTTACTTCATATATCAGAAAAAAATAATGCTAAGTACCAAGTTGTTTTAATTAACCATTCTGGAATAATTGTGTTTTAAAAACTAAAATAAAATATACTTTTTTGTGCGTTTTTTATTAAGACAGTCCAGTGGTGGAATGGTGTTTAGTATCACGGGAGGAGGGGGGGGGCACGTCAATGAATAGGGGCGACCAGGGTTTTCTTCAGTAATTTGATCTTTTAATTTTTTTTTTGATTGTATTATGGGGCGCGTTTAGACCGTTTTAGAAAGGCGTGGGGGGGGGGGGAGCCCTTCTCCTCCCCCCCTTTCCCGCTCCTTCACGCTTTATACTAAATCCGCCACTGAGACAGTCCTTTTTTTTTTTTCAATAAACTTTCATATTTTATTATTTTTTTTATTAAATTAAGTTTATAGAACTGAATTTAGAATTGATTTAAGTTATTTTATTAAAAAAAAAACATTTCCTGTAAAGCCATCTTAAACAGAGCAGCTAATATTGTTTTTGTTAATTTGCCTGGTTGATAGAATATTGGATTTGTTGCAATAGTTTTACAAACTGCTATTCATAGTCAAGAGACTTTTTACAAAAACCTGTAAATAACATAGATAATCTAGCTGAAATACGCCAAAAAAACCACAAAGTTTACATGTACTCAAGCTACATCTGGAAACTAAAATATAAATTAAAATCTTTTCTTTTTTTATTTTTTAATATTTTTTTTATAGCTTTTTTATTTATCTAATTTCTTTTGAAAACTTGCTTAATTTTTATCTTTTTGGTTATTATTATTTAAATTAATTTTTATTAAATAATTATTTATTATTTGGAATAATAAAAATTATATGGTTATTATTAATTTTTTTTGACATAATTTTTCATTTAAACTATGTTTTTTGGTGTTTAAATATGAATTCTGTTTTAATAAATGACTAGTTTTTTAAAATTTAGTTATTTAATTATTTAAGTATTGCTTAAACTATTGTATTGCTCAACGTTAAGATTAGGGAACGCTTAAGATTGTTACCATGATATTTTGCTAATTTTTTGTTTGATACTTTTAAATATTTTTTATATTCTAATAACTTAATTTCTTACCTTAAAGTTACATCCAATGTAAGAGTATTGACAAGAAATAATTGTATTAGCGCAGCTATTAGTGATATGGGACGACATCTACGAATAGATTTGAAAAATAATTTACTTACCAAATGTAACAAAAGATTTTTGTTATAAAATTAATTCTTTAATTATTACCCTAACCTCTTTACTCAAAACTTTTATGCCACATTCATTTACGCAATAACGTTTGCAAGTTTCCAAGTGATTCTAAATGTAGTTTTACAAAACAACTATTTTATTTCATAAAAAACAAAAATATTTAGTTTTTATATAACTTTGACTTGTTTAAAAACAACTTTTCTGCACATTGTCAATAATCATTACCATCTTCAACGTCATAGATAATAATAATCATCGTTGCAAATATTAAAACTCTAGCTGATTCAAATAACAGTTTTAAATTATTGTAGTTTCTGGTTTTATTTTTAAAAACATATGTTTCCTTGCTAAAAGTTTTTATAAACAAAGTAGGTTTTTATAACAACTTTAAAATCAAATTTTTTTTTTTAATTTTGATTTAGTGCAAATACTCATAACCTCATAGTTTACTCATAACCTCACGTTTACACGTTTACACGTTTACTCATAACCTCAAAGATTGCGTCAGATAACTTTTAACTAAAAAAAAATTAATTGTTATTAAACATATAAATTAACGTACATTAAACGGTGCTGTGTTGCTTTATTGACTTTTTAATTTAAATCTCAATTTAACAAAAACTAAAATTTAAATCTTAATTTAGCAAAAACTAAAAAATTTTAAAAATAAATTCACTACTATCAAGGTTGGAATTCCTTGTTTACCACAATTCACAAATTTTACTCCTATCACGACTTCAAGCAACTATTAATTAAACAAAGAGTAAACAGAAAACAAAGAAGATAGCTAAAGAGATATCAATTGACAGAAGATATTAATTGACAGAAGACTATAAAATTTATAAAATTTATGTTTCACAAAATAATAAAAATTTGCTTTTATAATGAAAAACCGGTGTAAAACCGGTTATACGACTTTTAATATTGGCCCGAATTTGGCTGCTAAAATATCTACTAATTCCATTCCATTTGATTCATACTTAAAAACTTATGATAAACTTATGGATGAAACTGATTTAAAACTGAGTGAGTTGAGAACTGCATTTAGCAGTCTCAAAAGTAGAAAAAGTGAAGGTTTTGATAAAATTAGTGTTGATGTTGTCAAATCAGTATTTGAAGTCATTGAACCTTCTTTATTTCACATTTTCAATCTCTCATTAAAGTCAGGTATTGTTCCTAATAAATTAAAAATTGCCCGTATAACACCAATTTTTAAATCTGGAGATAAGTCAAATATTTTAAATTACAGGCCTATATCAATCTTACCTTGTTTTTCAAAATTGCTAGAGAGAATAATGTATAACAGACTTTATAATCATCTAACTGAGAACGACATGTTGTATTGTAAACAATTTGGTTTTAAAAAAAAAAATTCCACTGAACACGCAGTAGTTGAACTTTCCAATCAAATATCTAATGCCTTAAATAATGACTGTTTTACATTAGGAGTTTTCATTGATCTGTCAAAAGCTTTTGATACCGTAAATCACTATATACTAATAAAAAAACTCGAAAACTACGGTGTAAAAAATAAAAACTTACTTTGATTCAAAGATTATCTGACTAACAGAAAGCAATTTTTATACTATAATAAAAATAATACAATTCCACACTCCATAACTTGCGGGGTTCCTCAGGGTTCTATTTTAGGACCACTTTTATTTATATTGTACATAAACGACTTATACCTATCCACAAATCTTTTAGACCTAATTTTGTTTGCTGATGATTCAAATCTTTTTTGTTCTCACAGAGATATTAAATCACTTTTTAAAATAGTTAACGAACAGTTATGTAATGTTAGTGCATGGTTCGTAAGTAATAAACTTTCACTAAATGCGGAAAAAACAAAATATATGCTTTTCCATAAAGTAAATAAATCAGAAAATATTCCTCTTAAATTACCAGATCTTAATATTAATAAAACTTATATTAAAAGGGAATCTTACATAAACTTTTTAGGAGTAAAATTGGATGAAAATTTAAAATGGTGTTCACATATAAATAGCATTGAAAAAATAATCTCAAAAAATATTGCAATGATGTTTAGGGCTAAACCCTTTCTAAATATATCATCTCTGAAAAAATTATATTTCGCCTTTATTCACAGTTATTTGTCTTATTGTAATGTTGTGTGGGCTAGTACTAGTCATACAAAACTAAAGAAACTCTACAATAAACAAAAACATGCATGTAGAATAGTATTTGGAGCCGACAGAAATGTTCCTTGCGAACCACTTCTAAGTGTGCTCGGTGCTTTAAATGTATATAAACTTAATTTACACCAAGTTTTATTGTTTATGTTTAAAACAAAAAAGGATTTGTCTCCTAAAATATTTCAATCTTATTTTAATAAAATTAACCATAGGTACTCAACAAAGTTTTCAGAAAACAATTTTGTTGTTCCAAAACATAAATTAAAATTAACTTCCTATTCAATTAAATACCGCGGACCTTATCTGTGGAAGAAATTTCCAGATATTGTTAACAAAAAGCAGACTACATTAGAGCAATTTAAGGATGAATCAAAACGATTATTATTGTTCATGGATCTCAATAAATCCGACTTTAAATGTTTATTTTAAAGTAAACACAATAAAAAAAAAATAAAAAAAAAAACAGATTCAATTATATCAATGATATATGATAATATGAATAAGAAAAGAAAGAAAAAGGAAAAAAAGAAAAAAAAAAAAAAAAAAAAAAAGAATAAGAAATCCAAGTGATGATGTCACAAGTGATGATGTCATAAGTGATGATGTTACATATTCATTTAGTGTTAATTATGAGATTTTATTTTTTCAATTTCTTTTATATTCAGGAATTTTTTTTTTTTTTTTTTTTTTTTTTTTTTTTTTATATTAACTTATTTCTTAAACATTTTAGCAACTGATAAGCATCTTAACGCTTCTTAATTAATTCTTATTTTTTATTTCTTTTATTATATTAGTTATTTTCTATTTCATTTCTATTTGTTTCTTTTATATATATATTTGTATGTTACGGTTATGTAGAATTTTTAATGGGGCTCGGCGATAAGGCGAAATGTGCCTTCTTCTTGCTCCAGCCATCAATTTATAAAAATGTATATGCAATGTAAAAATTTTTTAACGGCGAAATAAATTACACTAAAAAAAAAAAAAAAAAAAAAGCATATAATAGCAATACATACAAAAAAATCGAAAACAAGTTTTTTTAAATTTTCCCGTTTTCGCCAAGCTCTAATTTATATCTCCTAAAATTACTTTCAAATTTGTTTATATTAATAAGATCTTTAGATCTTGAAATTTTTTGTTGCAAAAAACTGCACGCTTAATTAAATTTTATAATTTTTTTGCAATCCTTGTTGTGAACTGACGTTTGAAGTTTTTGATACTTGTATTTTTAAATGGGGCATAGCGGTTCAAAATTAATGTTGTTTTAGTAAGGAACGTTTGAAAACATAACTTAGTATCATTGGACTTTATAACATCACCCTCTGTCTTTTTTGATAAACCAAGTATAAAGTTTACTTACTTGAAATTTTCAAAGCTTCTTCATTAGTTGAAAAGAACTTCAACTCATGTGGATTCTATAGAATTGGGCATGTAAATCATGATATCATTATACTCCTTGTTTTTGCATTAATATTTTTGATAGTTGTATCAGCACAAGAGAAATATGTTGATGTTTGCTTAATGTTGTAACTTTCGATTATAATCGGATGAGTTAAGTATATTCCTTTTTTAACCTTGTGTGAGTTATACCAAAAAAGCTAAAATCAAAACGAAAACGTATTATATTTAAATCCTCCGAGAATCTTTGTAAAAATGATATGTCTAAAAGTGAAAAAAAAAAAGTTTAATGAAGAAGAAATTTTTTAATTGGAATCTAAAACACAAGATAAAAGAATAATAATAATTTGATTTAAAATTTTTATTCCAAAATAGATATTACATTTAGTTGAGCCGCAACTTTGACCTTAACTCTAACACTGACATTTTTTCTTAAAACAAATGGCAGTTTAAAGCCTATTTAAAGCCTACTGAAATATTAGAAAAAATGTAGGCAACAATAGCCCTGTAAAAATTTGATACAACCAGGAATAAATTACTATAAAGTTGAAACTTTGTGCAAGTCAACATAAATATATGATGTCACTAAAAAAAAGCCCCGTCATTTGAAAAACCGGAAGGTGCTCTTTTGGGCCTAATCAATAAAGGTTATAATTTTTATGATCCAGTTTTTTTTTTCGAAAACGTATTCTTTGTATATCGTTGGAAAGATAATTTAATGCCGATTCATATTTGTATAAAAACTATGATTTAAAAACAGTTTGTTTAGTTTAAACTTGTTTGAAATTACGACTTTATTTTTTACGTTTTATTAAGATTTATTACGTCTATGAAACGAATTATAAAAAACGCAGTAAGTAAAAAGATTCTTTAGTAATTGTGTTTATTATGTATTTTGTTATGTATTTTATTATGTAATCATAATCATAATCATAATCATGTTATAAGAAAAAATCTAAATTGAAAGTTACTTAAAACAATATCGTTAACTAAGGAGTAAAAATTAATCAAATAAATCTTCAAATATGTTTCTAAGTGATCAGATTTGTCAAAGTATTCAAAATCGTTTATACTATTATTTTGCAAGTTTGTTATCGTTTAAGTTTAAAGTACCCTATAAACTAATACAATGTAATTAAATATATTAGTCAATAAAATGCTCCATTCATAGTAAAAAATTGCGTCAAGCCTAATGCGTTAGTCATAGTTAAGTCACTTCTTTGCGAAAAATTCTCCTTGACAACCACCACAAGTGGAAACGCACTTAAGACCATGTTTTCGACAACTGCAACTATTCAAACCACATTGGTTTTTTAAAGAGATTTTACAGTTGCACCTTATTACACTAAGAAGGTTTTAAGGTGTTACATCATTATTGCTATTGAGATAAGCGCATTATTTTCTTTTTTCTATTTCTAGGCTTCAGGATATAAATTCAAACGCTCGTCAAGTAATTTCCATTCAATAACTGAAAAATCAATAGCTATGAAATGAAAAATAGCACACCAATCTCACAATAGTTTTTTTTTTATTTTCATTTTCAATTTTTTTAGT